GATTGCAGATAGATCCATACCTGTCACCACGCACAAAACTTAAGTGCAAATGGATCAAAGATCTCAACATAAATCCAGCCACACTGGATCTTCTAGAAGAGAAAGTGGGAGATACCCTTGAATGAATTGGCACAAGAGACTGCTTCCTGAACATTACACCAGTAGCACAGACACTGAGATCTGCAATTAATAAATGGGACCTCCTGAAACTTAGAAGCTTCTGTAAGGCAAAGGACACAGTCAGTAAGACAAATCAATAGCCCACAGAATGGGAAAAGATCTTCACCAACCCTACATATGACAGAGGGCTGATTTCCAAAATATACAATGAACTCAAGAAGCTACCCACCAAAACAACAAACAATGAAATTAAAAAGTGGAGTTCAGAACTAAATGGAGAATTCTCAACAGAGGAATCTGAAATAGCTGAAAGACAGTTAAGAAAGTACTCAAAATCCTTGGCCATCACAGAAATGCAACTCAAAATAACTCTGAGATATCATCTTACACCGGCCAGAATGGCTAAAATCAAAAACACCAATGACAATCAATGCTGGAGAGGATGTGGAGAAAAAGGAACACTCCTCCATTGCAGGTGGGAGTGCAAACTTGTAAAACCACTCTGGAAATCAGTATGGCAGTTGCTCAGAAAAATGGGAATCAGTCTACCTCAAGATCCAGCAATTCCACTCTTGGGCATATACCCAAAAAATGCTTGTTTATATAACAAGGACATATGTTCATAGCAGCATTGTTTGTAATAGCCAGAATCTGGAAGCAACCTAGATGTCCCTCAACTGAAGAATGGATAGAGATAATGTGGCACATTTATGCAATGGAGTACTACTCAGCAGAAAAAAAGCAATGGAATCTTGAAATTCGCAGGCAAATGTATGGAACTGACCATCCTGAGTGAGGTTACCCAGTCACAAAAAGACAAATATCACATGTACTCACTCATATATGAATTTTAGACATAGAGCAAAGGATTACCAGCCTACAATGCTCTTCACCAAAGAAACTAGGAAACAAGAAGGACTCTAAGGGAAAAAATGTATAGACCCCTCAGAATGGGAAGGGGCAGGATCTCCTGAGCTAATTGGGAGCATGAGGGTAAGGGAGAGAGAGCTGCCAGAATGAGAGGAGGAGGAGAGGAAGGGAGAGGAGGAAATGGAGTAGCAAAAATTTTGAGTTAGGGGAAGAATAGAGAAGAACAGGATGAGAGATACCATATCAGAGGGAGCCATTATAAGTCCATTATGGTCTGCTTCTCAAATTTTCTAAATATTTGGTATGAACCAAACATCTCAAAATAAGGCTGATAATTGGTACAGAGAATAGAATTCACACAGTCAATATTCCCTAAGTGATCCGGTAGACTTAAGACTTTAAAGCTTAGCTTAACATTGTTGACCTTTAATGTACAAGTAAGAATGTAAGAGGTATCATTAAAATAAGATAACATAATCTTTGCTATCAAATACCTAAATCTAAATACAATTAGGTCATATAAAGTACTTTGAATAAAGAATTATTTTTGAATTTATAATAGTTAATATTTAATATGAATTCAAGCTATTACAAACGAGGTGGATGAACTTTGTAGGTTTATATGGTATGAATTGACTTATTTATTATTGTAAAAGTAAATGTGTGTTTGAAAGTATGTCTATAGCTGTATTCATCACTATAGGCTCTCAGATCACCATTGCAGTATCAGCATTACTCTATATTGTTAGGGATATTGTAACTAAAATTTAGAATAACAAATATAGATCACCAATACTTACATTTAATGGAATAGTAGCCATTGCATGGTTCTCCTTCAAACACAGGACATTAATGTTTTAAATTGGAAAGTATTTAATTGGAGCATATCTTTTTTTGAAAAGATTTTGCATCCTGTTTTATTCTATTATCACTTCTAGCAGGATTCATGTTTCCACAATTGACTTTCAAGTTCTTGAGTACAAGAAGCTCAAGTATGCAGAGTCCCTAGCTTTCTCCTTGTACACAGATGATAAAAGGAGAAAGAGAAGACTGGTCATGCTCTAAACAGTATCTAGCTTACAGTGAAATCTGCAATTAAAGCTAATTGATTAAATTGGGGTCATATTATTGTAGGCATTTACTAGGGTCATGTTACTGTAGGCACTTAATCAACTCTTACCTGGGGGCTGAAGATTCTGTTCTTCCAAAAATTCTAAATCAAGCATTAGATCATCTTCATCCAGTTCACAGGATCCCAAATGATTCAGAACATCCTGAACAAAAAGTAAAAATGATCAATGAGAGAAAGCAGAGAGGAGCTAATAGTCACATACAGTAGCCATAAAGCAAAATACTCAACACATCAGAAATTGACTCTTGTAACTTCTAAATCTACCAGTCCTGTGAAATACTTAACTTTTCCTATTACTTACTTCCCTTAGTTATCCATGCCTATTAGAAATAATAACATATAATTTTCAATTGAATATATATATATATATATATGATATGGAAAAATAATTAGTGATTCCAATACAACAGAATAAAAGTGTTTATTTTCACAACAAAATTTATTTAATAACCACAGAGTGATATTTTTGTGTATTTAAAAATAACTATGTAAAAATTACAAATACACAAATGTCTGTACATGAACCCTTAGTTTCATTTTTATAATATTTCAAGTTCTTGACCATAATATTAATGTCATGTGTAGGTTCCACCTCATGATGGGGTCCTGAAATCCAGTTTTTAAAAGTGATTGGTTAGGGTGGGCGTTGGTGTCACACGCCTTTAATCCCACCACTCAGGAGGAAGAAGCAGTCGGATCTCTGTGAGTTTGAGGCAGAGTGAGTGCCAGGATAGGCTCCAAAGCTATGCAGAGAAACCCTGTCTCGAAAAAACAAAAAAACAAAACAAAACAAAACAAAAAAACTCCAGACATTTCCCTAGTGCCTGATTTCTCTGTAAACGAAAATGTCCCCCTCTATTATGGTGTCTCCATTCTTATTATCATCTGTTCTTCCCCTGACTCAAACTTTCTGCTCCCTCATGTCCTCTGTATCCCTCCTCTTCTCCCCTTCTCATTCTCCTAGCTCCCTCCCTGCCCCCTCTTCCCGTGCTTCCAATTTGCTCAGGAGATCTTGACCTTTTCCCCTTCTCCAGTTGACCATGTATGTCTCTCTTAGGGTCCTCCTTGTTTATTTGCTTCTTTAGCAGTGTGGATTATAGGCTGTTAATCCTTTACTCTATGTCTAAAGTCTGTATATGCGTGAGTACATACCATGTTTGTCTTTCTGCGATTGGATTACCACGCTCAGAGCTAATAATCTAAGCAACAGAGGAGGTTACCTTAAATGCCCTCCCCTAATAATGAGATTGATGACTAACTTATATGATATCCTATAGCCTTCACCCAGCAGCTGGTGGAAGTAGAAGCAGACAACACCACTAATCACCGAACTGAACTGGAACACAGATGCAGAGAAGGACGAGTGAAGAGCACAGGGGTCCAGACCAGGCTGGTGAAACACACAGAAACAGCTTACCTGAACACTGGGGAACTCTTGCTCCCCAGACTGATAGCTGGGACCCCAGCATGGGACTGATCCAGACCCCAGGAACATGGGTTTCTGTGAGGAAACCTCAGAAATCTATGGGACCTCCTGTAGAAGTTCAGTACTTATCCCTAGCATAGGTGTGGACTTCGGGAGCCCATTCCATATAGAGGAATACCCCAAGACACATGGGGGTGGGCCTAAGCCCTTTCCCAAAGGATAAAATAGACTCTGATGACACCCTATGGAAGGCCTCACCATCCAGGGGGAGCAAAAGGATATGTGATAAGGTTTTAGTTGGGGGGGGTGGTAGGGAAGGACAGGTGGGAGAAGGGAATTGGGATTGTTATGTAAAACAATCCTGTTTCTAATTCAAGTAAAAACAAAAACAAAAACAAAAAAAAGTGACTGGTTAATCCAATAACATTTGTGTAACTAATTACACCTATATATCTTGCAGGCACATCACTGTTGTAAGTCACAGGGTTTGTAGCTGGATGAAATTGATTGCTTTTCTCTTCTAGTAGCATGCAAAGTGTATGTTCCATCACCATGAATGCTAGTCAGTAGGGGGTAATGCTTCTAGCCGGTCACCACATCTACTGATTTCCATGTTCAATGACATAAGTAAGTTGTGTCTTCAGCAATAGGGCTTTACCCTCAGGCTCTGGAGAGTTACCAATAGCCTTGGAAATAGCCTATGATTTATGGGACCTCTTTGGCCAATGACTCAATAAGATAGAATCCATTCCTGGCCTTAGAGGTTTGTACTTGGTATTATAAGATGTCTAACTGAGGAATTATCTCCCCAATTATATAATGAATTCACTTAAATTCCATTCATACACACACACACACACACACACACACACACACACAGAGAGAGAGAGAGAGAGAGAGAGAGAGAGAGATTAGGAAGCTTCTACAGTAGATTTGTATAAGACTTCTCATAAGATCATTACCTAACCCACCCTATTTAATATTCCTACTCTAGTTACTAAAAACAATCTACAGATTAAAAGACTATCCTCATCAAAATTCTAACATAATTCTTCACAGAAATTGAGAAAACAATCTTCAAAATTCAAATTCAAACACACACACACACACACACACACACACACACACACACACTCTAGAATGGCCAAAACAATCCTCAATCCTGAATTATAAGAGAACTTGCTGGAGGTGGCATCATCCCAGATCTCAAGTTATATTACAGAGTTTTAGTAATAAAAATAGCATGGTTATTAGTAAAAAACAGACACATTGATCAGTGGAATTGAATCAAAGAACCATACATTATTTCACATGCTTATAGATACCCAATTTTTTACATAGAAGCAATAAACACACAGTCAAGAGAGGACAGCATCTTCAACACATGGTTCTGGTCAAGCTGGATAATTACATATAGAATAATGCAAATAGATACATATTCGTGCACAGGAAAGGCAACTACCATCCAAGCATAGTGGCTGCCTATAAAATGGGAAATCTCATTATCAATTATACATCTGAGATATTTCTTATAGGAACCGTAGTCAAATAAATAGCCAGCAATGTTTTGAAAAGGGTGAAAAGAATTTATTTCTAACATATGGCTTTTAAAAATAATTTTTAAAGTTTTTATTTATTTAAAATAATTCAAGAAAAAACAATGTGTGTTTTGAGCTTTTGGAACATTGTTTGTGCAGCATCCTTTCCTTCTGGTAGGAACCCCACTACTCCAACCCCATACTGAGATTCTAGCATGATACAACACACAGGTTTTGGTAGATGCTCCAAGATCAGTCTGTCAACCACCTCAGTGACCAAAGCCCTTTCTCATAAGTGAAAATGGTTTTTACCTGGTCATCAATATCACAGGCAGCAAATTGCTATCTATGAAGAGACCACGGGGTTCTATACAGGATCCCTGCATAGGCAAGACCAGCCAAGAGTACTTGAAACCCAGCACCATAGAAGCAGGCTTTCTCGATCCTGTTACCTGCTGATCTCAAAGCTCAAAGACACAGATAAGGTTTTTCAAGTTGGGTCCATTCAGTCCCTTTTGAATTTGTACAGACAAATTCAATAGGATCTTTTTTTTCAATAGGGAAATACTAAAAAAAAAAAATAAATATTCCCAACTATTCCAACAATTCATATAGAGGTAGGAGATCATTAAGTAATCACATTAAACTCAGGGAACTCATACGTGGTTCTGACATCCTTCTCATTTGTGGGGGACTCTTGATATTCAGGCTCAAGTTTCATTGCTCACAGAAACAGAAGAACTGTTTCCCACATCGACCTATTCTAAACTGTTTGATCTGATGACTTGCATACAGACTGATTCACTGTTAGTGTGGTTCAGATTCTTGGAAGTTGGAAAAAATTACAGAATAAAAAGAGTGAACAAAATGAGATGTTCTGAAGAATGTAAAGGTGAACACATAAACTAAAAATCTAGATAGTTTCCTATGTCTCTCCATATAAGAGATCAGTAGCAATGCATTCCTTGTATTCATATCCAGCCCTCTGGAGAATTCTATCATCTGGAATCTTGTCTTCCTGTATCCATCAATAAGAACCATATTTCTTTAATTATTAGAAGAAATGGAGTTAAAACAGAAAAGGAAGAAAAGAGAAGGTTGGAAATAGGGGAGAGAGAAGAAACATGGAACTTTCCTATAACAATCCCTGGTTGACAGAAGATAATTATGTCCTAAATAAATAATAATAATAACAATAATAAAAACAAAAAGTCAAGAATGTTTTTAAAGTGTAGTTAAGGAATGCAAATAGAATGACTTCACCAAGCTAATCTCTGATGGTTTGAAGATCAACAAAACTCCAATATGGCTGCATGGAGCAATCTGAGTCTGTCAAACATCATGAGCTCATAATAACTGAAGACAAAATCCAATATGATAACTTTAAAAGGCATTAATAAATAAAACAAAAAAGCATATGAATTTGTCAGTTCTCTATCATGTGGCAACATGCCTGATATATTCACCTCAGAAGGAACAAAGGTTTGTTCATGTAACCTCATGGTTTCTGAGAACTCTGAGCTTGAATGGCTGGAAGGCTTGTGTTGATATTGTTTAGGACTCAGGTGAAGCAGAACCCCATGCTGGGAAGTATAAAATACAGTAAAGCTTCTAAACTCATGTAACTCACATGGAGGGAGAAACAAAGAGGAGGGAGTAAGGGAAGAAGAATATGTGAATATCCCCTTTAAAGGCACACTTGCAATCATCTAAATGCTTACCATAGGTTCCCTAAAATCTACCTCTGAATGGTGCCAGGGGATTGAGATCAAGGCCTTGGGGGCATTTAAAGTTTAAACCATAACATCAGTGTGAGAAATCTTTCAATTTCCATTGTCAGGGGATTTTAATAAATAGTACATTGGAGTTTGTGATAATATTATTTATTATTATTATTATTATTATTATTATTATTATTATTATTATTATACATTCACTATCATAAGATCTGCATTGTTCTGAACACTTTGGGAAGCAGGGTCTCAAGACATTCTATGGAGGAACAGGAAGGGCTTTTCAGCACCAATGTGCGGTCACACACAATATTTAAGAAGAAAGAAATTCAACATTCAATTAATGCCAATGAATGACTGCATCTCAAATGTAAGGGAGTGCAAATGTGCGCTCCAGACATTTGATTAAAAAAGAAAAAAACAGAATGCACCATGACAACAACTA